GTGCTCTTCCGATCTATTTTAATTTACTATATAAAAATTTATTATACTATTTAAGTCATATGAAAATAATCTATGTTTACCCTATTCTTAATGTTAAAAAATTTTTTTATAAGTGTTGTTCTAAGCATAATTAAAAATAATTATAGTAATATATAAAAAATATATAGGAATTTTATAACAAATATTATATTATAATTAATAAATATTAATTAACTATAATTAAATTATTTTTTTTATTATTTTAAAGTATTCTGAAGCATCCGAAATATCTAAAGTATGGCTTGGATTCTTTAGTTAGGAACTTTTTAATATTAAACAAATATTAAATTAAATATACAAATAATTATTAGCTAGAATAAAATTCTATAAGAAATTTACTAATAAAAATAAATATTAAACTATATAAAAATATTAATAAAATATAAAGTATAATATAAACATAAAAATATAAAAAAATTCTATTATAGTATATAACTTGTAACAAATAATTTAAATAATTATTTTTTTATATAATTATATAGTTAAATACATAATAAGTTTTTTTAAAAATATACTTATAAAAAGATTGTACTTATATAAAAAGTTTTTTATTATATATTAAATTAATGTATAATTTATATATATAAAGAAAAACTATATAAAGAGTTAACTATATAACAAGATGTAACATTAATATTTATTAAATATTTTTAATTTATACTAGTAATTATAGATAATCACTATGCTATATCTTAAAAACTACACTATGAAACAGTAATCAAATATATAAAGTAAATATATTCAATGCCTTATAAAAACTAAAATTAGAATCTAATATTTGGTCTATGTTATTTAAAAAAGATTTTATATAAAATCTTCTATTTATCTTAAAGCTGCATTCTAACCTTAAGTTTTAATAAAGATAATTATTTCTAATCAATAGTGTAGGTTATAATAATTCTATTTATTTATATTTTTTGACTAATTTATTAAATTTTAAAGTTTAAATATTTGAAAAATTATGAACACTAAATATTTAAATTTAAACATAAACAAAAAAAATTTTGAATATAGTAAACATAACAACACTAATATAAATAACATTTTATTATATTCGCTAGAGCATTAGCACTTGCTAACTTGAAAGTTAATTCTTTTATAATACTTATACAATCAAGAATTATAAAACTCAATTTCAAATATTAACAATTGTTAAAAATAAGCAGTTCTTGAAATTTAGTATCTCTGTTTTTACTTCTTTACAATAATATTAATGCTTTATTTTATGTGCTAACTTGCCAAAATATAACCTTAAGATTGAACAAAGTTTCAGATAAAATTAGTTAGCTCCTCTATTCCGAACGGTTAACATTTCAGCTTTCAAAGAGTTACAATGTCGCTAGTCCAAATTTTTTAATAAAATTTACAAATGTCCTGAGGCTTTGTGTTTGGTTTTTACAAAGTTTAATAAGGGTCTGGATTATCCAGATTCGGATTTGGGAGAGTTGACTGTTAGAATTGATTTGCATTACCGTTACAAGGAATAGTGCGGATTTACGACAGCGTAATCTGCGCATAAATAATAAAGCATAACTGTGTATAAGTTAAAGATAGAGTAATATCGAATAAGTTACTGATGGTCCGTAACTAATAACAGAATTTGGGGTCTGTCGCAGCAGAATGGTGATCCACCATATCGTCATTACGTCACATGATAATGATGATCGTAGTTTTTATTCGCGTGACGTCATTATCAAAGTATTTATTACGTAACGATATATTGACACATACAACGTTACACATCGTTTCATATAAGCACACTTGACAATGCAGCTCAACCATTTTATTCAAGCATAATGATGGCGAAGAAAATTTTATTTATTTTAGAATCTATATATAACGAATACTGTCTATATCGTTTTTTTTAACGAAGAATAAGGCAAAAAAAGAATAAAAACAAAGTAAGAACAAAAACAAATTGAGGAAAAAAAAAATGATAAATTTACATCCGGATCCGGATAACAAAAATTCGAATAAAAAGTTTTAAAAAGAAATGAACAAAAAAAAAAAGTAAAAGGGATGGCAAATAAAAATTGTTAATCGTTGGGATCCAATTGATAGAAATAAACGCGATGATTTTTAGGATAAAGTTGGCTCGATCTAGTAAAAATTATAACAAAGCATAAAAAAGTGATGGTCTCTTCGACCTGAATAGTACAAATATACGATGGTAAGCACAAAGATTTGTTCGATGTGAAAAAAGAACAGTGAATTAGCATAATAGTTAAAGTTTAAGAATAAAATAGAAATATAATTGAAACAAGTCACAACACAATGAATTGAAGTCAAGAAATAATTATCTAACGAAATTGTGTCGATACTTTGTAAGGAAGATAAAGAGTATATGTTTAACACGAAATTTAACACACTCTTAATTACTTTATGTATTTGAATTCATTTATCTAAGTATGATAAAACGTAGTAAAAAGACGAAAAAAATAACGGTTGTAAGAACTTAAGAAGTGATGAAATAAGTAACAATAATAAACGTATTATTCATTATTCGGATAATGTCAGAGTTATTGTTCACAGTAATAATGCGCATTAAATATTAGGATGAATGATGAATAATAACGCGTTCATCGAATAATATCAAAGTGATCGATGTTAATTTTGCGATTATTATTGAGCTATATTAAAAGAGAACATTGGCATGCCAGGAAATATGTCAGAGCAATTAATTCAATTAATAGAATTAATAAAATTGATAGAATTAATAGGGTGAATAGCTTCGTTTTTTATGGGTTCTTGGCAACAACGAGGAAGAAATTGCTTGTACCAAGAATTTTTATCGAAATTTAATGTAATAGGGAGGTAGAAGTCATTAAAAGAGCGTGTAGAAAGAATATGTGGACATTAGTTTCATGGCTTTCACTTTAGAATTCTGGATGTGCTCTTGTGTGGATTATATATAAATCTTTTTTTTTTTTCAATACAGGGTTTACAGCAAAGAATCTGGGAATGCCATTGTTTAATCACGTGATACCAATTAATATAACCTTATCTGAATCCGAATATAATTTATTCAAGAACAATGTACGCAAGAAAATTTTATGTATACCGAACTTGTAATACGTATGTACTTACGTACATTGTGTATATTATCAACAATGAGGGTGTGAAATATAAGAGTATGCATCCATTCTTTCAAAACCTGCATATAGTGGACCCGTATTACTGTATAAGCATATATAAAGTTTGCCTTATATAAGCAAGTTTTTGTTTTTCTAATGGCCTGATAGCACGACTGTAACAAGGTATACTATGAAACCAAATATATCATTATTTCTATTTTTCATTATATGAAAATTAATTGTGCTTAATAATTGGCGACTTTCTATTAATATTAACTGATTGTTAACTTATGAACTAACTTTAAACTTATTCATTGTATTGAGCCATACTTATGAACTCATCTTTCATGAGATTTTAATAATCTCAAGATGGAAGAGAATCGAAAGAGAAAATTTATTGATCATAGATGTTTATACCTGTCCCTTCTACTTTTGTACAAATACACAATTATGCTAAAAATGCCTTAGTGTGCGTCAGGGTTACTCCATGAATCGGCTTTGATACAATGTTTAGACTATTTCCTGTCAATTTGCCTGTCACTTTACATGTCACTTGCCTGTCACTTGCCTGTCACTTGCCTGTCAATTGCTTGTCATTTGCCTATCATTTGCCTATCAATTCTTGTTACTTGCTTTCACTTTCTTATCAATTGCCCATTTTGCCGTCCTATCAGGTCATTATTTTAAATACTATATCATAACTAGTGTCCCGACAGACGGGTTGGAGCTAGCAAAAAGAAATTACCACTGTATATCTGAAAAAATAATAAATAAATTTAATGACATACCATAAGTATGTACTGTACGTACCGAATGATCATGTGATATACCGGACAATTCTTTTCTGATAACATTAATAATACAGTAGTGATTACGATAAGTGATTAAAAACATTGGTTGCGTTTCTTATTTACTTTGTGTTATTTATATCTTAGCTTGCACTAACATTAAATAAATAAAATAAAACTTGGCTATAAACCAATCAACTTGGACTAATTCATTGCTTAATCTTTATAATTTTTTAGGACACTTGAATTCATCCAATTAAAAGAAGCACGCTATTTCCGAAAGATATTTCACTATGTCCATAACCATCCAGTTTGCTTCTTTGACAACAAAATTCTATGATTAAAGTTGTACTGATAAGTGTGCGCATATGAAAAAATTTATCTAAAAGTATTGACATGACTTTTAAGTAGTTTGTTAAGTGATTAAAAATATAAAACATTTATTTGAATCATCTAGACTATCACATGATATGCCGAGAATTGAAAAATATACATAAGCGCGTATAGTATGACAATGTATACCGAATATACGCATAATAATCGCATAATACTGCAACTCATTTATATAAGGGAAATAAAAAAAAAAGCTTATAGCATATGTTTACATTATCAGCTAATAAAGGTTTAGTAACTTATGAATGAAAGCTCTACCAACTTAAAAAAAAAAAGACCTACAATGAATAAGAAACTTTACAATGTAAATCTATTTCAAGTTTTTCATTAATGGACCTGACTAGCTTTAGATCGTATGCATTGTTCAAAAAATCTGGTTTCATGTCTAATATTTGAATAGGACAAACGGGGCTTATTTCTCTAATCTGCATTAATGGAGTCTGCATTAATGGGAATTGGCAGTTGCTAAAACCAAAACGAGAAGAAATGGTTGGTGTGTTTGTTAAGGACTCTCGTCGAATTTGAGGAGCAATTGAGGGTTGAGACGATCTATTAATAGATGGAAAGCGTTTGACCGACCGTTTTGAAGATTCATAAAAGAATGCATTTGCAAAATCGAGTTGAAATTGAGATGCTGAAGGATCCATGATATCAGATGGTGAAGAATCTTCGTGTAGCAAGAGATTTAATTTTCGAGTGTTTGAGGAGATCGGGTTTTCTGGATATGGGAAATTACGAGAAATAAGTTGTCTATGAGATGGGCATTGCACATGATTTGAGTGATTTGTATGATCTGAGAGTGAGCTTTGTTTTGTTGAACTTTGTATAGGTCTTTTTAGAGTCTTGTTACGTGTATCAGTTTGATCGATAAAAGATACAAAAGATTTATTTTTATATTCTGGCCGGAGATTATTCGTGTTAGATGTAAAAGTAGAAGGTGGAATCAGTGAAGAAATAGAAATGAGAGAATTTTTTTCTAGATTATCATGTCTAGAAATTTTCATCATATATTCGTAAACTATGTGAGAACACCTTTCCAATACTCTATAAACTTCTTTTGTTTCCGCCGACGCGAATTTCCATTCGCGACAAATTTGAACTGATAAATCTACTAATTTGTCTTTTATTTGGTGGTCCTTAAGGTTGTCAGTGTATCTTGCGAATGTATCACGCGTATAAATTTCGAAGGCGGTCGGTGGAAAGTATCTATAATTCTTATCTACATGTGGCGTGATAAGTTTATATAATTTAAGAAAAATCGTCTTATTGATCATATTATGCATTGTCGTAGAAATATATCCGTTAATGACCTGATGAATAAATAAAAACGTAGAATGAGGAATCGTGGTAGCCAAAGCCGTATCAGAAATATCATTATTGTAATGGTAATCAGAAGAATGGCAATTTGACAATAAATAAGACATTTTCAACTTTTTTAGAAGAGAACAAAAAAAAAAAAAAACGAGATTTTTGTAGAGAATACTTTTCTTTCATTTTTGCTCGATTTTATCTTGAAAACAACGTCACAAATCTAATTATCTGTGCATCTTGGTTTTTCTAAATGTATCATCATATACACAAATATAATCAACGAGGCGGTTCTTGCGTTACAAACCACATGCCGCATTTCGTCTTCCTCGCGAATTAACCAACCGATTGATTTTTAATCTTATTACATTTTTGTTTCGCTTTATAATTTATTGCCTAATACATACTACTCTGCATGATTATAAATGTTTTTTTTTTGTAATTGCTTGAAATAACAACGTATTAGATTTTTATTGCAGATTTATATAAGCTTTCAGTATAACTGCATATCTAAAAATGGCCAATTTTTGTTTTTCCTTTCACCTGAGTTACCAATGATTGGTTATCTTGGAAAGATTCGACACAAAAATATAATTTTCAACTTGTGCATGAGTACACTGCGTCATATGATCGAATAACTCTCTTTTCTGTTACTAAAGATTTGTTCATATAAAAAATTTTGTTGCAATCATACTAATCATAATTCTAACCATAATTCTTCTAATCATAATTCTAATCATAATTCTTCTAATCATAATTCACGTGATATACCATCTATTCATATGTATAATGTATGCATAGGAAAAAACAAGATTTTCCCTAATAAAGTTGAATGCACAAAAAAGCAGGGATTATATGCAAATTAGTAGAAACATAAACATGAATGTAATTAATATTGCCTATACATTGTACGCAATGACAAATCAAATAATCTTTAACTTGATAATGTATTTCTCATAGGTCTAACTAACGATAATACAGTATTTGTTTTGTCTTATGCTCTCCGAGTGCAAATCGGTTATAGATATGTTTTGATTAACAGGTCCCTGCGTTACTTAAACTCGGTTGACATGAAATGTCACATACTTCAAACTATTAATTGACATTGCATTATCATTACCGAAAATGTTTATCTTTTCAATATCAGTAATCCTCAATGACGTGTTTCGATTATATATTATTATATATTATTATTAATAAATATCGGAAAAAGTTATATGCTTGTAAAGGAAATTCATTCATGAATCATAAACTACTAAACCACCGATTTTATTCATTCAACTTTATATCAGATTACTTCAGGTGTACATGATTTTACATAATTAAGGTAATTTTACAATACTGCTTAACCAAATCTCTAAGGTTTTCTACGCCTTAATGCCTGATTTGCAATTGATCCATGGACTATTCTGCATAAATTGTTTTCCAAAATAGTATTCTAAACCTTTTTGATGCGCGCTAAGTTGAAAATGGATGCTTTCAACTGTATAAAAAAAGGAATTTTATTGAGGTACGCGTTTGGTTGTTCCTTGCATATTCTTTTCAACCTTGAAAAGAAAAGATTCTGCATAATAAATAACGTAAGCAGAGGCATATTTATATGCAAATGGTTAAACAGAACTGGGGGTGAGAAAATCAAGTGCGCTTATGATTCGTTTGTACTTTATATTATATCATCTTACGTACATAGATAAGTAACAACCATACGATTTTGCATCAATGTGTCCTTAAAATTGGGCAATGAACTTATTTTTCACAGATCTTTTAACAGAATTCTAATTCTAGATTAACTGAGGAAAAACTCTTAAAGCTTGTTAGCCCAATTGCATTACGCCCACTGATAGTTTTAATACTTTTTTTTCTCATGATCACATCGAATGTTAGCGTTTTGTGGAATAAATGCTTGCCACAACATGCGTGCGTCGTTCAAAGGTAACAAACCATGCTTGAAATTTTTTAAATTGAGATCAATTAATATTACTGAAAGTGCCAATAATATCTATAATATGCGGTCTTTTTGCTGTTTTACTTTATTTAATATACTGTAAATTAATCAGCTATTACAATACTGCAATACCAGATATATATTAATTATGAGAGTCGTATTAAATATAGTCACGTGCCAAACTTTTTGACACCAATTACTCCATTGAATAACACGTGATACTGTGAGTAAATTGATTTCATTTAATTTTAATTAATAAAAAAAAATTAAATTAACATTAATGATTACTAATCATCAATGCGCCAAGTTATCTATATATATATATATATAATATATAATTATATACTGTATATATATACATTATACATATACGTATACGTAGGATATACAAGCGACTCTCGATATAAGAAACCTTCGATACAAGATAAGAAAGATTTTATAAGTCAAAATTGATAGAAAGCTTTTGATCTCGATATAAGAATGATTTTCGCTGAACTGGAAACTTTATTATATCAACAACTTTATTATCAAGAGTCACTTATATTTATATTTTATAAACATACGGTATAGCATATATATCAGTAAATTGTGAACTATTGATTTTTTTTCTACTCAGCACTTTAAGATTTTCATTACTTTTACGTATTATAATTTTTTAAAAAAAAATTTAAAATAAACAAAATAATTCAACGTACCACCACAATATTAAATTAATTGTATCATAGAATCCTATTACGTATTAGGCTAGGATAAATTTTATTATCCAGAACCCGGGTGAATTTTCTTTCTAGAACATATAGTTTTGTAAGCAAATGGTTTGAATTTTAGTTCATTTCAAAAAAAAAATAATAATAATAACCATCAATTTTTCTTTATCTGATCAAATAATGTTCGTCATAGATATGAATGAAATGATTTGCAAATTAATGCAGTGCATAAGAAATGCATTTACCACAACCACAGACTTAATAAAATGATTAGTAAGTATCGTAATTCTTTTTAAGGTGAATATCGACAGGTACCATTATTATTTGCGAACCCGAATGATTTATAGATTTGATAGGGTAAAGATTTCTCACAGATAAAATCCATGTGATATGTTTAAAATCCATCTGCTCTAACTGCTAACTAACCAATTACATGAATTCATCAGTACTGTCCATACAAGAGTATTTTCTGACTGAATTGATTAATTTATGTGGTATTTAAAAGTATATACAGTCAACCCTTCGTAATTGCACCCCTCGGGACTATAGGTAAACTTTTTTAAAAATATGCATTTATGAAGGGCATTTTATTATTAAGTACACTATATGCTTGGGACTGAAGATTAGTGTGCATTTAGAGAGGGTATACATAGTGCGTGCATTTATAAAGGGTGCATCTATGAAGAGTTGACTGTACTTACGAATTCAAACACACATTCTTAAATTATACCTATTCTATTATTTATGTGCTCTATCATAAAAGATAACGTAGTATATAATTCATATTTATAAAGCTACATATACTAAATTACAACTTACAACTCGACTCGACAAGCTTGTATCTGATTGGTCAATCAAATACCTTGATCGGAATAACCAATCAAGAAATCTCATCTAGAACGTGCAAATTCTATGTGAGAAAACTTTTATATATCAAAAAAACAATAAAATTTTTTATCAGTGATAATAACTTGTGATAAAGAAAACACTCAATCTTTCCAGCCGTTTCGATTATATTTAAAAAGTTCTATATTTAGTTAGACATACAAGTATGATTTTTTTTTAAATAATAACGATAATAGCTTCTAGACTACTCAATAAATTTGTATTTATTGGATTCCTCTCTTTAAAGTAATAGTGCCGTTAATGAGGTAATATTTGCCTGCCCCCTTAGCGTTAGTGGTTTAGATATATTTTTTACCGCCTATTAGGATGAATAACCTGCAAAAAATCTTCGTTATCGAAATTTGCAATAAGTAATTAAACCGATATTGAACTCCCTATCATGTCATATACAAACGCGTAACAAACGGATCACGGGTTTCACTTTTTCGTTTTTGACAACAATATAACGTATTTATGCATGATGCAGCAATAGCGATGGATAATACATTAGTGGCAGTTATATTGTGGAATTCTAAATGTCACGTACGTAGTTATATTAAGTACGCACATGAACATCTAATCCCTTACATCGTCTTGATTGATCCGTGATTAAGCTTTAAGTAGTATAAATTGATAATCAACTCGGTTATGCCATGTGACATATTACCTACGTAACATTTGTGATTCCGCAATTGTGGAATTAACCTTCCCCTGCATCATCAGCAATGCATATTAATGTTAGTAATAATTGGGTTGGTTGGGGTGATCTTCAACGCACACCATTAGGCTTGCATCAGATTCTACTAAAGGTTGCTCCAGATCTCTCTGGATTGTTTCAACTTCAGTCAATTTGAGCCTGAAGTGGCTCTACTCTATTGGCATCCCTAGCAATAATATCTTGTTCATTGGATATTAATGGTTCCGTTTATATAGCGATAGGCACTGAGGTCAGTTAGTTATTTGGTCGGCTGATGACTGGCCAAAAACGTAAATAAATTCTTGGCTAAAAGAACAAATATTTACATAGTAAAGGATTTGCATTTGATTGGTTCAATATCACATAAATTAAAATTTTTGGAGTTTAATTATTGGTTATTGGCCAGTTGTTTTTGGCACTGGCTAAAAAAAAGTGTTTGTAACAAAATCGCCATCACCGCAGATAAGTATGCAAAAAATTGTCGAATAACGGTAATTTGGCAAATGAGCATGGCTAATCATCTGGGCTAAGTGCTGAGATTGTCAAAAAAAAAAAAGATCATCGGAAAGTCAAATTTTGTTATAAATCTTAGATTATAAGAAAATACAAACTTTAAAAATTTTATTAATATAACTACTTTTGTGTCTTAAGTGAAATTGTCCCTGATCTTTATCCTAAATTGATTTATATTAAAAAAATTCTTTTAAAAGAATTGTCCTTTTTCCAGCACCTATGATCATGATTGGCAATAAAGTTGTCGGCTGAATTTTAATTTGAATTTGAATGAACATAATTACATTAGTAACACAAAAATAACGAGACGAAATAAAAAAGTTTGCCGGATAAGTATTGTTTATTAATTACCCGTGACCATTATATAAT